TGTGAGGTTTCTATTGTTTACAAAACAGTGAAGTAAAGAGATCGAAAAGTTGACATTTTCGAACTTCACGCGAAGGCAGCAGTACTTGACACGCCTTTATACAAAACCGGAAGCTCGTTGTTGATGAAGTAGTTAGCAAGTGAGCTAGCAACAACCAATTTTCTAGGTAAAACTTTTAAATTCGTCGCTTAAAGCCTTAAAACGTTCAACTCAGCAATGTCTGGATCGGCCAACGTCGTAGCAATGAAGAAAGTGGTCCAACAGTTACGCCTTGAAGCTGGCATTAACAGAGTTAAGGTAACGGTTAAAATTGCTACGTTACTATTGTAGGGCGTGTACTGTTTCTCTGTCGTCTGTTAAAGGAGTCTCCCTTCATTTGAATAGCGATTGTAGTTGTAGTTACACAGCAGTAGCTTGCCTCAACTTTTTCCCAACCACAGGTGTCCCAGGCCGCTGCAGACTTGCAGCAGTTCTGCCTCCAGAACGCCCAACAGGACCCTCTGCTCACCGGCATGTCGTCCAGCAACAACCCCTTCAGACCGCAGAAAGTCTGCTCCTTCCTATAGCACCAACAGGCCGACCCTCCGCCTGTGTGAGTACAGCTGGTTCTCAGGCTGCCTCTTTTTTGTATTTTTGTACGATTAAAATAACCTCAAGTTCTGTGGCGAATCCATAAAGTACGTTTTGATGTTTTGTACGGCCAAGAGACATAACGTTGAGTAATGGCAACAAGTTACGAAACTGAAACCAGTACAAAATGCACTTTCTTAAAAAGTAGCCTAATTTTAAACGATTAACATCAAACGCTTATAATTCAATGGTAGTTTAAAATTAACTCTTCCATAAAATATCTTATTAACTATTTCCAGTCAGCTTGTCGAGGCTGCTCAACTGAAAATCATTAGTTACAGTGCTCGGACTCGCACCTTTAATTTCTAGACTTTTCTCACCTGTGAAGTTCAGGTAGAGCTTTAACATCACTCACGTTCAGTTTTTCTAAAATCATTTATAAGCAGGTCAGAGTGGTTTAACTTTGCTTTTGCAGTAATGCTTATAAAATACTGTGCATTTCTGCATTGTTTACATGCTTTGCCGCCTGCTTTATAGGGAAAACAAACTTTTCACACCCTCAGCCTAAATGCTGTGGCCCCTGTAATTTGCCTTTTGTCCCATCTCTCTCTGATTGCCCTGAGCCCCGTTCTGTTAAAAGGGAGTTCTTTATTACCACTGTCGCCAAGTACTTGCTCATACAGGGTTCGTCTGTTTTCAGGGTCTTTACCTTACAATATAAATCACCTTGAGACCACTGTTGACGTGAGTTGGTGCTGTATGAATAAAACTTTTGCATTACTAATGATCGTAAACATTTCTGCAGGTGTTGGACATTGTGGTGCTTTGTGGAACGGGGTTTCAGGATCAGGATCCTGCATCATGGACTGGAATCGACTCAGGAGCGTTAGGGAACTTGGGCCAAACGACTGACTTTTTTTTTAACTTTTGCCTTTTATCAAATCTAACGTGGAAACCTTTCCAAGTGGTTTTAGCACAAATGCGTCTTAAGCTATTTGCATAGAACTAACCCATACTAACATGTGCCTTTTGAAATGTGTATTTTTCATGCCTGAACAAAAATAAATACCTTTATTCACAACTTAAAGACACAGTAAATGTTTTATTAGAATAACAATATACACACGTATTATCCAAGATGATTTTTGAGAATCCTGTTGAATACAGAAGCATCTGCACTGTGCTCATGTGTTAAATATAAACAATTTGACCACCTCCAGTCACACAATGCACTTTATTCTATGCTCCTTCTATCAGTCGCACAAACCAGGATGGACCCGGTGTATGTTTGCATATATGTGGTAAGAGCAGGTCACATTTTAAGCTTTTAACACACAGGCAGCATTTACAGAGAATCAGGATGCTGCATGTCTTCTCGGGCATTTCACGGTCCAACAGAAAATGTGTCCAACAATTAGACTCAGCCCTTTGATGTCCATGAGTAGGACAGTCCATGTTATGATAAAGAGTGGAAATTATACTTTTAAGGGAAATTTGAGCTGTTGTTGAAGATTTAACAGTTGCCAGGGAATTGTCAAAGTCAATCTCAGCAAGTCCACAAACAGCTGAAGTATCTTGGATGAGATCATTCCCATCTGACCAGGAAAAGATTTTTATTTTCTCAAAGCTGGAACTTTCGTCTGCAGGCTTCCATCTCATGACGCTGAAATCAAAAAAAGATATTTAAGCTTGTGTGACAAAAAACATTTCTTTTAATCTTCCACAATTAAAT